GGCTTAAAACTCACGCCGGGTGCGTGTGCGTGCATGCCCAAGATCCCGAGAGGAGAATGGAGGAGAAGGGATTGTGGTGTGGCCATCCCCCATGGGGGGTGATTTCTCGCTTTCTATCTCTTTGTCTCTCTCTGTCTGGCGAGTGCACTTACCCTATAGCGAAAAACCTCTCCAAAAAAAAAAAAAAGAAAAAAGAAAGTGGGTAATATAGTATATGTGTCTTTGTTCATTTCTCTTATTTCTAGTGATTCCCTCGTTTTTCTTGTATCATGTTATATCTATTTTTACTCTTTGGAAAATAAATGAATAAATAAATATCTATGGTAGTGGGAACCAGCAGTTAGCATAATGGCTATGTTGCTGGACTCCCACGTAGTCAACCACGGTTCATGTCCCGGACCCAGTGGCTTAAAACTCACACCAGGCGCGTGTGCGTGCGTGCCCAAGATCCCGAGAGGAGAATGGAGGAGAAGGAATTGCTGCGTGACCATCCCCCCTGCGGGGTGATTTCTCGCTTTCTGTCTCTATGTCTCTCTCTGTCTGTCTGGCAAGTGCACGCGCCCTATAGCGAAAATCTCTCAAAAAAATATATATCTATGGTAGAGTAACTCATGATACGTAATTTTTAAAAACATGGTAAGAATTAACTTTACTTTCCTCCTTATAGCTTTACGGGAAAAGACAGAACCAGATACTGAGGTTTCAACTTAAAGCATTCAAGGCGCCAGCCAAAGCCACCCTAAATGATTAAGATAATTTTTTATTACTGAATTAACATACTAGTGGAATTATTTATCTCTACTCTGACTGTTATCATTCTTTACTTTCTCCCTTATCTCCTTCAGTGCTTAAATTACAGTAATTTTTGTGTTCCTTTTGGGTTTAGTAAAATCAGAAAACCAATGTGCTGTAGTAGAAAGGACACAGATTTGAAATCAAACCAAACTGGGTTAGTGGATCAAGTCCCCATATACTTAATTGTGTAACTCTAGGCAGGTCAGTGACCTCTCTGAACCTCAGCTCCCATACCTGTGAAGTAGAGATGAGAATAACATCTCTCTCTGTGCTATCTCACTGCCATAATGAATGAGGAAATGGGACCACACGTGGGAAGGTGCTCTGCTATGCTCTGAGGAAGTTGGCACACGGGATGGTGATTATCACCAAATGAGTTGTTCTTTGAAGTTTGTGAAGCAGGGACAGCAGCTCTTCCTTAACCAGCACAGCTATCTGAAGCCTCTGCTGACCCACAGTGGACCTCCTCTGACCACCACCCTCCCTGCTTGCTGTGGACCCATCGCCAGGTGCCTAACCAGCCCCCAGGCTTACGAAGTAAGTTGGTTTATTCCAAACTAAATTCCTCAGTACATAAAACTTATCTGCTGTGTGGATGGGTTGCTGCTTTCATTTGGTCTTATTTTGGTTTGAGTTTGTGCTTTTGAGGTGTAAAATGCATAAGAGGGAATTTAAGCATATTTAGCTCAACCAGAAAATACACTTAAGTCTATAAATACAATTCATAGTCTTTGAAATATTTAAAAACAGAGAATCATATCTCCTCTTACTGTAGTGTTGATTCCTGTAGGTGACTTAAGTCCTTCTGTCCCTGGGCTTGTTTTCATCCAGTTGCAGTTGTAGCATGTGGCCTGAGCTCAGTACGAAATGTGTATGTTACTAGCTACAAGCGAGGGTTGTTGCAGTTAAACTGAGAGGATGAGAAAACAATTTTTGATACCCCTAAAGTGTAAAACATTTGGTAACTTTTGTAATTTCATGCCTGTGAGCTCGTAGCTATCAGGACAGTTTATCTGCCCCTGTTCACACTGCTGGAAGGCATGAGCATATTTGGATAGAATTGAGATTCTGTGTTTTTTCTGGCTACCAACATGTGATTGGTGATTTAGTAAATAGTGCTGCTGAGAACAAAATTACAGCCATGCTAACCAGCCTTTATTTGTAACGTTTTTCCTTCTAATGTTTTTTTTTTT